CTAGGTTCAGAAGATAATATAGTGTGAGAGACTCTGGAGCCAGACCCCCTGTTCTAGAATCCTGGCTATGTCTCTGTGTCTCAGTTTCCCTACGAGTAAACTGCAGACACGGTGTTTCTCCCCAAGCAGTCACGGCCGGGATATAATTGACTAATCCACATAAGCTTTCTAGAATAGCGCATATACATCAGAGGAGCTCCATAAATGGAGCCGTTATACTTCTATTCCTGAATGTGGATACCAAATCCAAGCCCACCTACCCCTTTGTTAGCCCAGCTGGTCTTCAGTGTATATGTGCCATCCTGGGGGAACTCCAGAGCAGCAGGAACGTTCTTGGCCTTGACTTCCAAGAAATCTAATGTTTTCCCTTGGATGTTGTCATAATGCTGATTATTTTTATGTGAGTTTTTTTTTTTTCTTCAAGACAAGAGAATGAACACTTATAGGACCAGGGCCTTTCCATAGCACACAGTGTACAAATGTACAATTCTTCCGAGGGTCTTTATTCAGAGATGGCAATGGTTCTAGCCTTTGCTTTTTATTCTTGTTTTTATTGTTGGTGGTTTTTTGGGGGGTGGGTGGGTGGGCAGGTTCTCTCTACATAGCCTTGGTTATCCTGGAACTCACTATGTAGACCAGGCTGGCCTTGAGCTCACTGCATCTTCCTTCTGAGAGCTGGGATTAAAGGCCCATGTGCAGTTGGTTCTAGCTTTTTGAAAAGATTTATTTATTCTGTATGTATTAGTGTTTTCCCTGCATTCATGTCTGTCCATTGTGTGCATGCAGCACCAATGGAGGCCATCAGGGGTGTCAGATCTCCTAGAACTGGAGCTACAGGTGATTGTGAGCTACTGTGCTGCTGAGGATCCAACCTGGGTCCTTAGCAAGAGCACTAATTATTCTTAGTCACTGAATCATCTCTCCAGCTCTGGGTTCTAGTTTTTGGACACATAGTACGAGTCACTGGCTGACCACCTTATTAGACCATTCCATAACCCTATATCCCACCTTCAACCATATTGAATATTCCTTTCAACTGCACCCCCCTGCTGTCCTATTCTGTAAGTCTTCCTCCCCTAAGTAGCAAATTGTTTCTCTTCTGTGCACCCTGACCTTTCAACTCCTCTCTGTGCCCTGGCTTGATTCTTGCACAGAATTAATTTCACCATCAATATTTTGTTTAGGCTGCTCTTGTAATACTCACCTCAGTATAATTTGGTCTGAGTTAGCAAAAATTAGTCATTTGTATACATTATTATTCTCACTGAGTGTCTTTAGTGTTCAAGGTTTGAAGTATGCTGAATTAGCCTCAGATTGGAGCTGGTTAACAACGAGACTATCAAAGAAAGGCAAAATCCTGTCTTCTGAAAGCAAGATGTGCCAAGAAAGCTTGGGAGCAGACATGTCAGCTGCCAATCCCCATCCAAAGGTGAGCAGATAAAAGCCCCTGGCATCTAAGAAAAGTTCCCTTTACTCCCCAGTCAGGAGAAGCAGCATAGTCTCTTACCTGTTAAAATAGCAGCAACAATGCGAAACTAATGTCATAATTAACAGCATTCTAAAAGGAATTCGGGGTACCAGTGGCTTTTCCCTGCCCGACCAACCCTCTTCACAGCCACAGCTCTCCTTGAAATTCAGTCACCAAACTTGGGAATTCCAATCTGAAAAGAAAGGCAGCTTTTGCTAACTTTCTGCAGCCTTTTCTAACTTTTCCCCAAATGCTTGGGCCCCCAAATCATCTCGACCTCCATTTCCCAGTCTATCTTATTTTACATTTCACAAGGGGCCATAATTTGCTTCTCCGACGCCTGAACCCCGAGGCCTGTCTTGGAGAGCCGAAGAAGCAGTGATGAAAGCCATTGTTCAAGAAAGAGCTCAGTGAAGTTCAGTTATCCCATTTGGTACTCCTGACCTCCTCATCTGGAAGATGAGGTACAGTAAGAGTAAATGTCTTTTAAAAGCCGAAGTCCCCGAGTTGTCCAATGGCACGATCAATAAGCCATCATTGCTGTTTTTACAAATTACTAAGATTGTTAACTTTTGCCCACACTAGCTTTGGTTCAAGGAACCTATTTTATGTTAAGGATCCCCTGGCTTAAACTCAATTACTTATTAGGAAAGATAAAAATCTGTTATCCCAAAAGCAGATTTAAAAAGATGATAAATGTTTAATGTTTAAATAAAAGCTTTCTACTTCCATTTACAGGGCTTTGTAGGCCATTACTTTTTCCTAACTAAAAGATCATGGTGTTAATTGGTACGTATAGTTCTATGCAAACAAGATTATATTTGGATAGCTCTTGAGGGAATAGAATATTTGAAATATTCGTTAAGATTGACTTGAACAAGTCATAAAATATAGTGTCAATCCAATTCTTTAGGTAATCAGATACAAATCTGCTTAGCTGGATATATAAATCTGAAGGCCTCTTGACTTTACTTTTTTTCTTATTCTATCCCCTGCCCCATCCTCCCTCTCCACAGCTTGAAACCTGACAGTTGAACCATATTACCAGCAAATAAAATGCAGTGAAGCCAACTTGATGATAGTTTACAATGGTGTCATTTCAAAGTCATTAAGTAATTAAAATTCCTGGTAAACATGGCTTACCCAAACTCACACATTAAAATGACAGCCAGTTCACTAGCATGTCTGGGTAAAAGCTATCGCATCAGCAGGGATAAATGCCTTTTTAACAGTAACTTACTACATGTGGCAACAACAGCACGTCATTCTTAAACAACCTCCCTCCCTAGAGGGTTAATAGCCTTCATTTCTAGGATCTCTCCTTACCTCATAACTTTCTCTCTGTCTCCCTCTCTCTCCCTTTTAACCCCTAATATCTACTTAATCATTTTTTAACCTTGACATCTAATTAATCATTTTTATATTTTTTTTAAATCAGGTACGAATTGGCTCTGGAAATGCTCGAGGGAGAAGTGGCAGAGTCCCTTTACATAAACTTGTGGACGCCAAAAGTCTGAGCCCGGTGTTTTATGTTGTGGAAGTTAAGAAGACATCAATTTAGCTGGAAAGGGCCATCTATCCAGGTTCCTCGAAGCTGGCACACTCCACCTCTGCTACATCTACTCAAAGCTGGCTGGCTGGCTACTGTGAACACTGAATTAGATAGCTTGAGTAACTCCACACTTACCCTCCTTAGTCAAGGCAGGAAGGAGCAGGGGTGTAGGTCAGAAGATCTGGGCTCTGCTGTTTGACCTGAGACAAACTGAGGAACCAGCTCGATCTTCACTCTCCGCCAAACTTTTAAATGAGGCTGGCATTTTCTTCTGGGGATGACTAAAGAAGTTTTAAAAATGAAAGAACACCTGAAATCACCTGGTACACAATAGTCAGGTGAATGTTAAGAAGCCTTGAATTGTTAAGAAGCCCAGCATTGCAAAAATTAAAATAAACAATGCATTATATGAATACTATTTCTACAACTCATACAACCTTAGTGTTTGTTAGTCACATTTTAGTGATGAGAAAATCTAGGCAAGCCTATTAAACTGGATGGAACCAGTTTTCTTACAGATAAAGTGAAAGTGATTCTCACATTAGCTCATGCAGTGCAAAGTCTGCCTGTGCAATTTACAGAACAATTTCTCCCCTTTCCCCAGAATGCAGGACTTGCTGTTATGCTTGCTTCAGAAAGGCAGAAATGGAATCCTGGAAAGATGAGAGCTTGGCTTAGGTTGGAGGTGAGGGGATTCCTGAAGCCCCGCTAGAAGCCAGATTTGTTCATTTCTAAGTCAATACTGTCTTCATCCCACAAGGCCTTGTTCTGGAAGATGCTCAGAGGTTTCCATTCCCTCCCAGTGGTTCCCCAGAAGGCACTGCGAGCTCTTTTGCAGAACCGGCCTTGCTTTGTTTTTGTTATGAGACCAGGCTTTAATTGGTTTGTTGTTTCTTACAGGATGGTAAGATCACAATGTCGTTTGACATCATGTCTCTGAGACAAGAGATTTGTGTTCATCATTTGTCAAGTGGGTTGTTGTTACAGAAAGAGAGCTGTAGGAATAACAAACAGGGTTGCTCTGAGGCAGCCTTGTAATCACGTCACCATTTTTCCCTCTCTGCAATCGGTACTCTTTTGAGCTAAAAGCTCAACGGCAGAGATGCAAAAAGTGAATGTTACATTACTTCATGCAGTTTATATCGATGGGGCAAAACAAAAGCCCAAGGTGCAGGCCGGTTTGAGAAACAGGAAATGAAGGTGCTGCGGGGCCTGCTCTAGACAAGGACTCCGCTCACTCAAAAGGAGACTTATGCTGCCACCTTGTGACACTGTGGAAAAATGCTCCAACTATCCGAGAGAAAATTGTAACAGGGGCTGAGGAATGACCGGAACTCTTGTGTGATGCACAAAATAATGAGCAGAGTAGGTAGATTTTGAAGATTGGAATAGTGGTCATTTATTTGGTAACTATTTAGTGGATGTCTACTATGTATGCACCTAACACTACTAGGGATGCCAGGAACCATGTGACTTCTTTGGGGGATAAGGCCTGAGAATAGCATGAACAAATTCTCCTTGTGGCAAGGAGCTGGAGAATCTGGCCCATTTTGGCAAGGCTGATGGATAGCTTACTGCATAGTTCTGGGCATGACCCCAGGAACATATGTGTTACCTGCTCTCTTTGCTTTCTTTGTTCAACCCATATTGTTGGTTGCCTTTAGTTTCACTTTCTCAGTCATGGATAAAATGGCTATTACAAAAGGAAAACTGGTGATGTGTTGTTTATGATTTATTAAAGCAGCCATACTAGTTAGCTATAGAAGCTAGGCAGTGGTGGTACTCAACTTTAATTCCAGAACTCAGGATTAAGAGGTAAACAGATCTCTGTTAGTTCAAGGCCACACTGACTACATGAAAGTGATCCAGTCCTAAAAGAAACGGCTCACACAAAGGTGATCTCAGCACCAGGGATCACACACCTTTAATCCCAGCACTAGGGAGGTGGAGACAGGAGGATATGGCTGGGTAGAGAAAGGAATAAAAAGAGGGGGAGACAGGAATACAGAGCCTTTTTGCCTCTGAGGATTCGTGGAGACAGGATTGCAATTTCAGTAGGGTAGAACTTGGCTACCTTGCTTTTCTAATCTTCAGCTTGAAGCTTGAACACCATTATCAGTCTCTGGGTCTTTTATTTTTTGTGTTACAGAAAACTTGCCCCTGATGACTCTCCTCTGGGTGTGCCAGAGGGGATGCTGCTAAAAATATTCATTAGACCTTATTCTGTCCCAAAGCCTTTGATGTTTCAAGTGTGACCATGGATTCAGGCTTTTTAAGTACAAGATGTTGCTTTTCCAGTGTACCTTGTGACTAGTCTGAAAGAGTCACAGTGGTTCATGATAATACTATGAATTTGCATAACTGCTCTGGAAAGAATGACTTTAACCACAGGAGTCTAAGAGAAATGCTAATAAATAGATATCAGGAGTTAATGGGAGCAGTCTAGGAATGAAGCAGAATCATAGAAACCCACAATGCCCTTATTTCTAATAGCTGTGCCAAAACTGTAGGAAGTTGAGAGGAGGGGAACATGAGAACAAGGGTTAAGCAGTGACAACTATTAAGAGTAAGTTTCCAAGTTATGTTGCTTATAGGATCATAGGGAAAAAAACCTTGTAGTGTTATACCCATAGGAGATAGAGTAGTACAGAATAAAGCATGAATTGGTCCAGCCTTGGCTGGTGAGTTGATTGTAAGAACTTAGACTTTACCAGAAGTAAATATTATCCAATAGAGACAAAACTCTCTCACTTTGCATGATGCTGTCACCACAAATGCTGCCAACCGGGCATACTGTCCTACCTGTAAATGTGCCCAGTTAGAAAAATTCCTTTGTTGCTTGCAATACTGCCTATGCTTTTAACCTTAGAGCTATGAATCAAGTAGGAAATAGTTACTGGCGATAAAGTCGGGGGACAGACAGGGAGTAAGGTAAAGGAACAAACTGGCAATTATTGTAACCATTATTAGAAACTTAAAGAAACAAATCTGATTGTAAAACTGTTCATGTAAACTACTGAAACTGTATAAATAAAAATGGCCCAAGCTATTCAGGGCCACTTGTTTGAAACAGGTGATCATAGTATTTTCACTGCGCCGACATCACACATCTGTCCCAGGTCATTGAACCCATTTGGAAATAGGATTCCAACACAGGAATCAACAGACTAAACAAGCAAATGAACAAGCTAACTTCTACCCCCACGGAGCATGTAAGCATCTGGTTAGTATATCCATCAACTCATCTTCAATTCTAAACAGCCAAGGGAGTAAGTCTTTTCCATGTTAAAGATGAGGGTCCTACACACTGGAAGGTGAAGAAACTGGTTGGAAGTGACTGGCTGACCAGGGCTAAGTCCCAGACTTGAACCCAGGAAGAGAGGAGACATCAAGATTTTAATCATTAATCAACACTGAATAAACTTTGCCCTCTGTCTAACTTGCAAGGAAAAGACAAGTGTTTCTGAAGTGGCTGCTTATTTGTGTTTGCCTGAGAGGAAGTGATGGATGATTGTATATATGTGTCTCTGGTCGATGAATTCACAAATATACATGCCCTATATACACACTCACTGCATCTCTGTGTGCATAATTACTCACTGTATCTGTACATGTATTTATTTGCCACTTAATCACAAATCAGGCTTTTCTGAGCACCCATGCTATGCCAGGATACCCATTAGGACTGGGGGATGACCAAATGAGAGCTTGGGATTGCTTCCTTTATAGCATTAGTTGTTTTCTTCAGAAAGACTATAATCACAGACACAAATCAAAGTATGTTTTCTCATGTTATATGACAAGGTCAGTCATGACTAGAAGAGATTTATGAATCACCATAGGGGCCAAAGAAAGGCCTCCAGGGCACTCAAATAATGGTTGTAAACACAGCTGAAAAGATTTGTGACAACTTAAGTGCACAGAAACAAAAGTGCCAGGTCTCTACCTCACACACTTCCTTAGTCATCTTTTCCTGCTTTTAAGTTTTTAGTTGTAGAAAATGCACATGCATTATACTATACAAGTAATAGTCTCCAACCCTAAGGTTCACTTATTGGTCTGACACAAGCTTTTATACAAATGGGTGTTTGGCCCTGAACTACATCCAAATCAAACATCTCAATAGTTTCCCTAACTACCTCCCAGCTAATGATCCCTCATCAAGGTTGACTAGTCTCCAGAGTTTAATTGTCTGTTGTTGAACTTCTTATACCCAGTATCCAGTATATATGGGGACTTAGCCCATCCTTATGCTTCCATATTGAATATGATGTCTGAAAGTGCCATACAAACTCATTCTTAATCACTTACTGACTGTTGCCCCACTTTCGGACACATCTTAACTTGGTTGTTCTAAATTGTGTTGTTTCTATTTGTGTCTGTCATGGATAAAGCTGCTAGTGAGCCTTCTCTTGCACAGGGCTTGCAGTGGGATATTGTCATTTTGTTAGGCATACTTCACAGGATAGCTATGTTTCCATGTAGTAAATACTGTTCAGGATTGTTTCAGAATAGCAACACCATTCTACATTCTAACTGGTTGTCTTTAGCACTTGATATTGTCAGGCCTTTGGGTTTCAGCCCTTCTGAAACATAGGTATTTCATAGGTATTTATACATAGGTATTTCATTGTACTTTTAATAGGCATTTCTTTTTCTTTTTGTTTTTTGAGACAGGGTTTCTCTGTAGGTTTGGAGACTGTCCTGGAACTCTCTTTGAAGACCAGGCTGGTATTGAACTCACAGAGATCCGCCTGCCTCTGCCTCTGCCTCCCAAGTCCTGGGATTAAGGGTGTGAGCCACCACCGCCTTACTCTTAATAGGCATTTCTTTTTCTTTTTGTTTTTTGAGACAGGGTTTCTCTGTAGGTTTGGAGACTGTCCTGGAACTCTCTTTGAAGACCAGGCTGGTATTGAACTCACAGAGATCCGCCTGCCTCTGCCTCTGCCTCCCAAGTCCTGGGATTAAAGGTGTGAGCCACCACCGCCTTACTCTTAATAGGCATTTCTTTACTGAGCATTGTGGCATGTGGTCACTGGACATTTGTATATTGGTATGGAACAGGTTTTGTACCCTGTAAAAACGTATTACTCTCATTGTTAATAAAAAGCTGATTGGCTGATAGTCGGGCAGGCAGAGATTGGGCAAGACAGCCTGACACAGAAAGAATGCAGGGAGGAAGAAAGACATAAGTCAGAGGAGTCTCCAGAAGAAGCAGGGAGAAGAAAGATGGGCATACCATACTGAGAAAAGGTACTGATCTATGTGACAAAGCTTAGATAGGAAATATGGGTTGATTTAAATGTAAGAGTTAGCTGGTGACAAGCTTGAGCTATTGGCTGAGCATTTATAGTTAACATTAAGTCTCCATGTTGGCTATTTGAGAGTGGCTCCCAGCACAGGAAAACTCTATCTGCA